AAATTGATAAAAAAAAAAAAAAAATTATTCGTTCTAGTATAAATTTTGAACATACGCGGTTCTTCCCAGTCCACCGGCCCACCATTTGGTAGCAGTTAAATGAGGAGAATGTATTTCAAACTCGTCCGTTTCAGGAATATAAGTGGCAGTAGTTTCTAACCCTTGAACATTTGATCCATGACCTAACTCAGTTTGTGCATAACATCCAATGATTTCATGTTTCATCGCTGGTTTAAGAAATTTGATTTTTTGTTCTTCGTTTCCCTGACCCAATATGGTTGGAATGAACATACTCTGATGAACACCATACTTTATCATTTAATTGAAGAGAAACGATAAAAGGAACGGTGAATAAGATTTCATCAAAAATAATGATAATAATAATAATAATAATAATATGCGATTTTCCTACAAAATCGTATATTTTGATTCATTGTTGATATCTCATGATCTAGTAATCAGATATTGGTAATTTTGGCATAATTTAAATCTTGTTGAAACGGTTCGAATAGTTTCAAAAAATTATCAAGATTTGATCACTAGATCATAAAATATCAACAATAAATCAAAAATATATGTATGGTATACGAGTTGGGTAGAAAATCGCATAATAATAATAATTTTAATGAAATTTATGAATAATTATGATAATTACAGGTCCATGTATATCAAGAAGCCAATTAGCTACTTGAAATTCCTCTACACTCCACTTATTAGTTCTATATGTTTAAAATAACAACAAATTAATAAAGCAATTTCTTTTTATCACAAAATAAAGAAACAAAAACTTACGCAGCCAATTGAACCATTCTTTTATCTTTTCTTAAAGCATATTTAAACAAATCAGCTCTTCCCATATAATAAATATTGCTTTTATCAAGCGTAGGATCGTTCTCCAAAATGGATAAAACCTTTTTTAGTTTAGATAACTCTTCGGATCCTAACAATACCAATGTTAATTCTTTAACATCAAATGTTGCTTTGGATCTTTCTCTCGCTAATAACTCTGACCCTTGAGGGTCAGAGGGAGTTAGATGAGATGGAATTTTAATGTGGGAAGTCATTTTGTGCTAACTATTTGAGGGTTGGTTTATTGGTAAATGTCAATTAAATATAGATGTTTTGAGGGTTGATTTATTGGTAAATGTCAATTATATATAGATGTTTTGAGGGTTGATAAATTGGTAAATGTCAATTATATATAGATATATGAAGAACTAATATAATTTTACATGAATAGAAAGATCGCTGTAATGGAATCTTTTTTCAATATTA